CTTGATCTGTCAGCAGCAACCGTGGGGGTGGGACCAGCAGGCGCGCTGGCTGCTCCAGAGTGGCGGGCCCAGGCGACCACTGTGTCTCTCCTCCCCCACGGCAGGGGCTCCCCACCGACATCCAGCACGAGCAGCTCCAGCCTGACCAACGACGTATCCAAGCAGCCAGTCAGCCGTGACCTGCCCACAGGCCGGCCAGGCACCTCGGGCCCTGTGGGGGCGCAGTACACACCCCACTCCCACCAGTTCCCCCGGACGCGGAAGATGTTCGACAAGGGCCCAGACCAGGTGGGAGACATGATGCTTCGAGACGCCCCGTGGCTCCCAAACACCAATTCCCATCGGCCGGGGTGGTGAGGGCAGCCGGGGTGGGGAGGGCCGGCCGGGGTGCCGAGGGCTGGCCAGGGTGGTGAAGGGCGGCTGGGGTGGTGAGGGCCGGCTGGGGTGCCGAGGGCCGGCTGTGGTGGTGATGGTCGGCTAGGGTGCCGAGGGGCGGCTGGGATGGTGATTGTCAGCTGGGGTGCCGAGGGGCAGCTGGGGTGCCGAGCGTCAGCTGGGATGGTGAGGGTCAGCTGGGATGGTGATTGTCGGCTGGGGTGCCGAGGGGCAGCTGGGGTGCCAAGGGGCGGCTGGGATGGTGAGGGGCGGCTGGGGTGCCGAGGGCTGGCTGGGATGGTGATTGTAGGCCGAGGTGCCGAGGGGCGGCTGGGATGGTGATTGTCAGCTGGGGTGCCGAGGGCTGGCTGGGATGGTGATTGTCAGCTGGGGTGCCTAGGGGCGGCTGGGGTGCCAAGCGTCAGCTGGGATGGTGAGGGTCAGCTGGGGTGCTGAGGAGTGGCTGGGATGGTGAGGGTCACCTGGGGTGCCGAGGGGTGGCTGGGATGTTTTGCCCCCAAGTGTGGGGCGTGACGCCGTAACCGGGTGGTTTATGTCATGGCACACCGACAGTGGGTGTGTACGTGTGGGTACCACCACCTTTGGGGACCCGCTGTGGGCTGTCACTCACATGCTGCCTGACAAGCACACCCCCCTCTGTTTGCATGGCCCCGTCCTCATGACGGCCACAGGGCCCCCAGCTCCTATAGCCTCCCATTCTCGTCCCCGTGCTTGGAACGTCCAGAAGTGGGTGACAGTGTGGCTGTCCTCTGCTTTCCCTTCTGGTGCCCACAGAAATGTTTGCTTTTTTGTCAACATTCAGTGATGCCTTCAGCTTGGTTGAGAAAGGAGTTTCGGGAGAGAATGAGAACCCATAAGCTGGTCCTTGATGAGCATGGTGACCGTGGCTCTCCTGTCTGTGTGGCTTGTCCCACTCTCGGTCAGGACCCAGGTCTAGAGGTGGCTGCTCAGGGCGTGCCAGGTGCCCGGCCGCCCGTGGGAGCCCCAGGAGCCGAGTGTCTCAGCAGTGGAAGGCCCCAGGTGCTCTCCAGAAGCCCGTGATCACAAATAAATAAATGAAGACGGCAGCGGCCTCGCACATTCCCTTCGGAGCGGGCGTCGCCGTGTGGTGACGCAGAGGCCTGGTGCTGGCAGAGCCGGTGGGTTCTGGACCCTTCTCAGACACTCGGGGCTTCCGTCGTGAGGAGGAGGGCCCAGAAACGTGCACCGTCGATGCCAGAACCCTGCCGACTGCCGCTGCGGTTGCTGCTGTTGGGACTTCCTGTCGCTGGAGGTTGACTGCTGTCTCTGCTTCTCTCCTCTCCTCCTCCCCACTAAGACCACGGACGACGCCGATGACGCCGCGGGGCCCAAGAGCTTCATCTCAGCCGCAGTGCAGACCGGCTTCTGTGACTGGAGTGCCAGATACTTTGCTCAGCCCGTCATGAAGGTTGGTTGTTAGCGCTGCGGTTGCCCTTGCAGGGGGACACAGACACTGGGGTTCGGAACCCTCACTTGCCCAGCCCATCGTGAAGGTTGGTTGATAGCACTGGGGTCGCCATTACAGGGACCACGTACACTGGGGTTCGGGACCCTCGCTTGCCCAGCGCATCATGAAGGTTGGTTGATAGCACTGGGGCCACCGTTACAGGGACCACGTACACCGGGGTTCTGGACCCTCGCTTGCCCAGCCCATCATGAAGGTTGGTTGATAGCACTGGGGTCACCCTCGCAGAGGGCCTCGCCCCTCCCATTCCTGTGACACAGACGCCAGGTCCCGGGACCCCTCTGTGCTCTCTTCCTCCTCAGTTTCCCCGGCATCTGGCCTGGGTGCCTGAGGCCCTGCACTCCTCACTCTCGAGCCACCCTCCCCGTGACGGTCCAGACCCCTGCCCCACAGTTTGCTGGGGCTCCCGTTAACCTGTGATCTGGGCTGTGTGGGGGACATGTGGGACCCTGTGTGGCTGCCCTCACCTCCGGCCTGGGCTCTGGGGTGCATGGGCCCTGTGCTGCCACCCTCATCTCTGGCCTGGGCTGTGGGGCGCGTGGGGCCCTGTGCAGGCAGCACACACCTTTGGCCTGGGCTGTGGGGGGCACATTGAGCCCTGTGTGGCCGCCCTCACCTCTGGCCTGGGCTGTGTAGGGGTGCATGGGGCTGTGTGGGGGTGCATGGGGCCCTGTGCGGCCGCCCTCACCTCTGGCCTGGGCTGTGGGGCTCATGGGGCCCTGTGCGGCTGCCCTCACCTCTGGCCCCGGCGCTGCACCTCTTGTTCTCGGGCTGCTGAAGGGAGACCAAACGGCTGTCATGGCAGCTGATACTCACACGTCAGATAAAGCAGCAAAAGACAAGGCTTCCCTTACCTTCTGTCTGTACGCACATGTGCTCACACGCGCACGTGCGTACAAAGATGCACACACATGCTCACACACACGTGCGTACAAAGATGCACACACACATGCTCACACACACGTGCTCACACGCTCACGTGCCTACAAAGATGCACACACACATGCTCACACACACGAGCATACAAAGATGCACACACACATGCTCACACACACACGTGCGTACAAAGATGCACACACACGTGCTCACACACACACGTGCGTACAAAGATGCACACACACGTGCTCACACACACGTGCGTACAAAGATGCACACACATGTGCTCACACGCTCACGCTGATGCGGTCACGCTCACACAGTCACTCTCTCTGCCGTCTCTGCACGTGTGGGTGGAGGCATTGTCCCCTCCTGCCGGTGTCGCTCTAGCTCTGACCCCCAGAGGTGCCATCCAGCCACACTCGGCAGCTGAGCACTCTGGGCTGCGACACCAAACCAGCCTCTCAGGGCAGAGCCCCGTGGCCGGGGTGAAAACGGCAGACAGGTTCCCTCGCGAGTGACAGCCCACAGCATCACCACAGCGCGGGGAGCCAGGGCGGCTGTGTCCGCGCAGAATCCTCGCCCCAGCCTGTCCGCGGGGAATCCTTCTGGAAACTCATTTTCATACTCTCGTATGTCTAAAGCACCTTCTTGGAAAACCTTCTTCCTTTCCCTCAAATAGGCAATTGAAAAGTGACAATTGCAGCTAATTCCTAGTTGTGCATCGAGCTACACATCAGTAATTTCCTTGAAAAATATTTGGGCTCTTGATGATAGCTTTTCTCCGGCGTTCCCTTTTCCCCACAGCAAATACTGACTTTCATCAATAAAAACCCAGAATAATCATTGCCAGTACCTGAGGCAAGTAATAAGGTTCTAATTTATTGAGCCCCGCTGCTAAAAAGCCAGAGGAAGTATCGCTTCCGTTTTTCAAATGGACCTGAAGCTGTGAATCGCTCAACTTTTCTAGAAAGCAGTTTGGCTTTAAAGAGCCTTAAAAAGCCACTCCCTGTGACCCAGTGATTCCTTTGCCAAGATATTAACTTAAGGGAATAATCCGAGACAAGGACAATGTTTGTACCATTTATAATAGTGAAAGGAAATACTCGGAGGCAAGGATGATGTTTGTACAGTTTAGAATTGTGAAGACTGGGATTGATTTAAGTGTCCAACAGAGAGAATGATTAAAATCAGGAAACATTCATGAGATGTGCCTGCAGCTATTAAAAAATGAAGCTGAAAAACCTAACTGATGTCACAAGCAGATGCTCGTGATGAGATGTTTGCAAAGGGAAAAAGCTGGACGGGAAACTGGACACGCAGGACGGTTGTCACTGTCTTTGCGGTACATACCGCCTGTGTGCCCGGAGGAAGGCTGAAGGACGCAAATCTTAGCAACGGAGATCTCCGGTGATCTGAGCAGGGGACGCTGAGCTTTGCTTTTTTCTTACACTCTCCTGTCTTTTGTGCACTCTCTGCACTAAGCACCAAGTACCTTTATGGTCAGCGGCAAAGAGCATTAAAGACGCACACGCCAGCAGACCGCTGAGGCACATGGGTCGCATCTGTGGTCAGACGCCTACCGTCCAAGACAAGCAAGACTTGGGTCCTCTTACTGCCCATGGTGGGAGAGGCATCGTCTGCTTGCAGACTGTGAGGAAAGCGCCTTCATCCAGTCCCTAGGACACTGCTGGTTGAGACAGCAGAGAGCAAACCAGTTCCAGGATGTGGACGCGGTCAGCCGAGCGGGAGCTAGGAGATGACGAGAGCCCAGCGGGTGGAGAGCGAGTTGTCCTTTAGAGCTGGGGTCTGGTCTGTTTCAAAGTTAAGTGGGATTTGGCTTCATGTTCACGGACATTTGGTTCCCTCGCTGCAGCCTTGTGCTGTGCGGCGAGTGAGGTCAGGCAGCTTAGAAAGCGGGGCGGGCCGGTGTGACCTCTTGCTGAAACGCCAGTCGCCACGGAGGCGGCAGTCTGTTAGCCTGGTGGTTTGTGGCTGTTCTCCGCCAGCTGTGGGCAGTGACGGGCACTGGCCCAGATCGTCCAAAACTCTTTTAAGACTGAAAATGAGTTTGGTTTTCTCCCCACGGATTTGCTTTCCTCTCGCGAGCACAGTTTACTTAAACCGAAAACCCAACCAGGTGCTATCAAGTCAACTCTGACTCACGGCGACCCCGTATGTGTCACAGTGGAATCGTGCTCCCTGGGGTTTCCAGTGGCTGGTTTTTCAGAAGTAGATCACCAGGCCTTTTTTCTGAGGTGCCTCTGGATGGACTTGAGCCCCGACCTTCCAGCTAGCAGCCGAACGGGGAACCGTTTGCACCACAAGGGCTCCCCAGTCACTGAGTCAGGCACTGAGGCAAGTTTGCACTTCAGCTGGTTGCAGGAGCGTGCTCCGTGCCCAGCAAGGCTTCAGGTCTCATCCGCAGCTCCTCTCCGTGTTGGCGACCCGGTGTCAGGGTTTTCAACAGCTGATTTTTCAGAAGTAGATCTCCGGGCCTGTCTTCCAAGGCACCTCTGAGTGGGCTCAAACCGCCAGCCTTTCGGTTAACAGTCAAGCGCCCAATCGTTTGCGCCCCCCAGCAATTCCTGCCTGTCCACGTGTGTTGTATGTCTCTCCTCCCGTGCGAAACAAAGGCCCGGTGTGCTCCGTGGCTAAGGCCACGCCTCCCCGTCTTAGATGTGTAGCCGCAAATCTGTGTTCCTTTGTGTCCTTCTGCTGGTGTGTTCCCTTCCCGGGTGTGGCTGAGAAGTCTGCATTGAGGAGGAGTCTGGGGCATCCCCAGCATGGAGGTGACAGAAAGCATCAGCCCTGTGTCCTAGCCGGCCTCCATCGTACAGGGTCCTGAAGCTGAAACATGGCAGGTTGGGTCCATCCAGGCAGGGCTGTGGGGAAGGACATCCCAGCTCTCACTGCTTAGGTCCATTGAGGCTGTGAGGAGGGACCTCCCAGGCTCTGCGGTCCATGGAGGCTGTGAGGAGGGACCTCCCAGGCTCTGAGGTCCATGGAGGCTGTGAGGAGGGACATCCCGGGCTCTTAGGTCCTTTGAGGCTGTGAGGAGGGACATCCTGGGCTCTTAGGTCCACGGAGACTGTGAGGAGCGACGTCCCAGGCTCTTAGGTCCGTGGAGGCTGTAAGGAGGGATGTCCTGGGCTCTTAGGTCCCTGGATGCTGTGAGGAGGGACGTCCTGGGCTCTTAGGTCCATGGAGGCTGTGAGGAGGGGCGTCCTGGGCTCTTAGGTCCATGGAGGCTGTGAGGAGGG